AGGGTCTCCGGAAGATTCCAGTACAGATATACCGTGTCGGGAGTGACGGCTACGGCTTGCAACGAACGTGGCGCTGACGGGTAACCAAATCTAAACACGAAGTTTCACAAGTAGGTGGGGTACTGAAACGAGTCAAAAAACCAATTTACCCGGTCCGGAACGACTTCGGGTCCGAAATACCGCTCGCGTCCGAGTATCGATTCAGCCACGCTACCGTAACCTCGTAGTCCGTTTCTTTGTCCAGAATCCCGTTCTCAACATGAATTTTCTCCGTATAACTACGGATATGCTTCACTTTGTCGGTGTTCTTTCGGAGTGAAGTAAACCTAAAATTTGTGAACTAAAAATGATAAGAATAATACGAAAACGATACAATTTAATTTGAAACAGAAAAGATACAAGCCAATGAATTTTTTACCTCATAGTGGGTCTGCGGAAGCGAGACACCATGACAAATGTTCAGGGGAGGAGGTTTCGAGACCTCCAGAAAAGCACCGGTTTTGCCTTCATTCACCACTGTGAACTGTATCCCAGCCGAAGACGGTAACGCGAAACAGGATCGATCTGTAAAGGATGGAAGTAAGTTAGCAGGAGAAAAACACTTGTCCAATTATAAGGAATCAAAGGAATTCTACGTAGATTTTTTCTCTGCTAACTGATCAAAAGTCGTTGGAGCTAGGAGCTCCTCTGAGGTTCTCTTGAATCATCATTTCACTTTAGTGCATCAGGTATGTGCTTCCTAGAATCGTCTCTTTTTATTCAGCTTCATAACAGGACAGCACGTAACGCGCGCGGTCGCATGCGCGAGTGGTTAGACAACGCACAAATCAATCATTATCATCGATTAGATCATTCCTCGTGCTTCCTTTCTACTGAATGTAAGAGGTGTGAATAGTGTTGGTAGTGAACAAGGAATCGAATACCCTACAGTGGTGACCAGCAACGCTGCGACCGTTTTCGGCGTCTACACGCCTCGATCAAAGAAATGCAGTGTGGAGATGAACGTACAAGGATTAGAAAAAGGGACAGCTCTCTGATGGTTTTCACGCTCGAGACTAGATTAACCCATTACTCACAAGAAGAAAGAAAAGTTACCCTCACTTGGAAAACTCACCAGGGTACGGTTGACTGCTTTGGCTGACGGCAAGAATTTGGCGAAGTGGCGGATAGGTGATTGGAATTGGCACCACCGTTTCTCGACCGTAGATGAGCATCTCCGATGAGGTTACGAACACAAACAGCTTGTCGGCTATTGCGAATGCTGACATCGCTTTCAAGGCCTTTTTCTAGAAATTTTCTCCTGTAACTCAGTTTTTCGAAGCAATTTTTTGGTTTTTTCGTCTTTCTCTCTATACTGGCGTAAGCATGTTACTAATCTCCAGCGAATAAGTTCCACAGTATTCTTCGTAAAAAAAATCGAAAATCCTCGTGAATAACGCGATTTCGCGTATGCTATTATTTTTTGCTACAAGTCGATTAACGGTAGGGTGTTTTCATAATCTGAAGATACTGTTCAACGTATCTCGCCGAGAATCGTGAGGACGTGTCTTGAAGTTTGAGAAAAGATTGCATCTCGGACTCGACTTTCATATCGAGAAGTGGATGTATGCACACGAGGCTCCTGCTTTTTCAGACTAATCGGTGTTCAGGGGAGAACCACTTACTTGCACCTAACATTTGCCCCAGAACGTACTCGAGATCAACCAGTACCCTGCGAAAATAGCTGAATATTTATTTACTACGACTTTTGTTTTATTGTGAAGAGCTTCATAACCCTGCACTGTACACATCCTCTCTGGCGTTTTAGTAAAAATCAGATTATCGTCGACCTCCGTAAAAAGGTAAGGTAATTTTGATTACATGCTCCCCACTAATTGCTTCTCCACCGTGGGAAGAGCGTGTGGAAAACAAAATGCTTTTTTCTTATTCCAAAATTCCAAATGCCTGGCAAAAATTACGGAAAGAGTGAGAAATCTGATTCCACTCACCTCCAAATTTATTCCAGTCGATGCGTACTTCATTACATTTATTGTTTTCCTCGACGTCAATCACTATTAGGCCATTCCAAGTCAAGGCGTAGATTTTCGGAGACGAAGCACGGTTCCATGCGAACTCTGTGTTCATATAGTTGTGCGATGAGTTACTCGACGAAAAAAGGGAATATTTTTATTCGAATCACTGAAATTCTGAATGTACTGAATTAGATTTCGACTAGTTTTCGATTAGTGGATTAGATTTCGATTATTCAAAAGCTATCCACTTCTCCAATGGCTACTGCGTGACCTCCGACGACACTATTGAGGGTCCTCATTCATTCAGCTACGATAGCATGTTCCCTTTCGGTAAGCGTGTCGCAATCGCAGAATCAGCAGCAAATGTGACCTCCCCCTTGGTTCTAGAACCAGTCGAGGAGTTTCAAGAGTGATTGACCATTTGAAACAAAATTCGAATTAAAATGCTTTCGTTCTCACCTGTCATCATCCACGTGACCGTTTGACTCGTCAGGCAAGGTACAACCAGTGCCAGATTTTTCTCGTGACTTCGAGCGAGGTTCAGCAGAAACAGCGACCCATTGCGTGTTAGCAAGTAGGCAGTGCTTGAAATTTTCTGTCTTAAGACTTTAGAAAATGCTATTTGCGCAACAGAAGACACATTACTCACTTCTTGAAAGGATCAAAAGTCAGCTGTTTGGCGTCGGTGGCTCCAGTTGAGAGTTCAATTAGCTTTCTAGGAGTTAGCAGTGACGTTGTAAGGAACGCATCAAGTGGAAGTTGATACAGTGCCTGACCGGACACCAGCAACAGCCGATGGCCTACCCAGTCCGATGTCAT